TAATCAGTATGGAAGGAATGAGAGAAGATCACCAGTGGGTCAAACACTATAGTAATAATTGTCACAGACAAGATTTACTGACAGATGTTCAAGTTTTTGCCGAAACTTTAGAAACAATTTGCATAGTCATTTGTATTAGGTACAAATGGAAAAACAGTAAATTTAAAGTGGAGAAGCAACAGACACCACCATTACCAAGTATTAAGGTTCGTATCATCTGTAATAAGACATTGATATCAGGAACTGTTTGATATGATGCAGTCAGAGGGATACATTGTCATTTCTGTGGGGTTTTTTGGCAAAAAATTTATAACCTCAGGCTAGCCCATAAGGAAATATAACATGAACCTAGATTGAAAGACATTGTACAGAATAATCAGTTGTCTTTTAAAAAGTGTCAAGCTCACTCTGAGGCTAATGGGGAGGAAGGTGTGCTGAGTGCCCAGGCTGGAGACCATTGGCCTGGCTCTGCGCACATGGTAGACCTCTCCTGCCAGGCTGGTAGGTCGTGGTGGCAAGTGTTAGACACGACTATGGCAGGTCAGTGGGCTTTTGCTTCCGCTGGGCATGGTACCCCCGAGAACCTGCTGCCCCACAGGTCCAGTGCAAGTTCTGGTAGTCAGTGATAGAGCAGGGCTCCCATGCCCCAAGTATCCCTGGCAGCACCATGCCTGCATTCCTGGAATGCCCCAAGCTTTCCAGTGCCATGGCCTGGGTATTGCACTGGCACATCATGATGGAGCTAGGAATGTGGTCTGCTGGAGGAAGGAGAGGTGTACAAGATGATGGAACAAAAGATGAAGGAAGAGCAGGAGAGAAGAAAAAGGAGTTGGAAGAGAGAATGTCACTAGAGGAGACCCCCCTCAGGAACACATCCTGAAATTGCAGGCGAAGCTTTTGGCCCTACAGGAAGAGAAGCCAGTACCTTTTCTTGCAGCTCAAGAAAAGTTTTACATGAGGCTGTGCCCGGCCACTTTTAGCCCACCCACCCAGACAGAGGTCCTCCAGCCTCGTGGTGCCTTGTACTTACAAAAGCAGATGGAACATGGTAACCAACAGACTGGACTTCCTCCCTGTGCCCCATGAATCCAGCTTCTGAACTCCTTGCCTCCCTGCTACTCCTGCAGATGCACCCAGCAGGAAAGTCAGGCTTTGCCTTTCCTGCTGCAGCTGCAGATATAATCAACAGAAAAGTCTGACTTTGCAGCTACCAGCTAACCAGGCCCTTGGCTCTCAGCATAGCCAAAACCTGCAGTTCTTCCACAAATCACATTTTATTTTCAACCTCACCTCCACCCCCTGCTGTGGGTGAGGATCCCGGTCTGCCCCAGGCCCAGGTCAGTGAAACTTGTCTGCCGCTGGAAAAGAAAAAATGTCAAGTTCATGAAAGACCAAGAAAGACTGAATGTGTTTAGGAACTTACACCAATAATTGTCAAAAATATCCTGTACTTTCAAGACAAAGCAAATAAAACTACAGCAGTTAAACTGAGGAAATACAGCTGACTGTGGCTCCTGCCATACATAAGACAGCTTTAACTGTTAACAAGCCGGATAGTTTGGACTCTTGCTTTTTTGTTTCACCTTAGAAGATCGACAAAACTGGTTTAAGAAAGTATATTTAGAGAGAAAAAACTTATTTGGAGTATACAAATTTACAGTTTTCCTTTCAGTGCTACAAATTATTAGGTTTCTCACGGGTCAATTAATTTTTCAGAGGCTGTCTCAGTGAAGAAAGAAGACTAAGACAAGGCGTGATGAGTTGGTTCAAGTTGTGACTTGACCACTTAGTAGTTCATTTATTTCTTCATAATTTTACCACCCTTCTGCTCACTCATCTATCCATCTATCCATTCTTTTCCTTTTTTATGTCATTCGACATAAAGATCTTACGTCCTGAGCCCTGCAGTAAGTGTGGAGAGTGTAATGCTAAATAGGAACAAAGAGTAGGAGGACATTTTTATCCATTAGTTATATCATGGCTTAGTTTCTAGATCTTGTCCATTTTTCAAAATCCTACAAAAATACTTGAGACCTGAAAATAATAAATGGGTTCAAATTAAGTTGTAAAATTGAGGTTTTATCAATTTCCAATTAATTATAACATGACGGATGTTAAAATCTGTCACTTTTTTAGTTCCATTTGTAAATATTACCTAGGAAGTTATCTGTCCTTCACCTGCAGAGACATTAAATATACATATAGATGCTCATTAAAGTATCTTGTGAAATAGAAAAAATTAAAAGTGTACATATATATAATAGGGGATAGTTCTGAATATTGTCTGTAAGTTCAGATTATGGAATTGTCAGTGTGGTATCAACTTATTTCAGAACAAAGTAGAAATTCTTGAATTTTTGGACAAAGGAATGGAAGGAAGAAAAATAACTGTTTGAAGTGATTTTACCTTTTTACTCCTGATTTGTAAATCTATTCTCACATTTTATCAGAAAAAAGTTGCTTTAACAATGGGAGAAGTACATTTCAAATTTTGTTTAAAATACTTGATTTGGTTTTTGTTTTAAAATGTTATGGCAATACATGTATAAAACAAAACTCAATGATACATTATATATGTAAAGTAAAAAAGTTAATGGTCCTGTTTCCCCGATTATTCCCAGTGTGACATAAACTTTTTCTACCCCCCTCTGTGCTCATATAAATTATTTTTAAAATCAGTAATAGGAATGCTGTTTTTTTACTTGCTTTTTTCCTGACAGCTGATATTCTTTTGTGTCAGTAAATGCAAATGTGCCTTCGTAACAGTTGTTTTGTGTTCCTTGGCATCGATGAGCCATACTTGTTTCTCATTTGTAATTGATTTTCAACCTTTTGCCTTTAATTAATGCCACAGTGTGTATATCTCTGTGTACATATATCCTTGCACATTTGTATAGATATTTCTTTTTAGTTTATTGGAAATGGACTTGCCCATTTAAATTTCTATTACATGTCATAAGTTATTCGTGAACAAGGTCCTTATTGCAATTCTGAAGACCAAAAAACTTTGAAAACCAAAAGCTTTTTCATGGATCATTTAGTGGCAGGATCTGATATGAGCCTTTTTTTTTTTTTTTAAAGATTTTTTTTATTTATTTGAGAGAGAGAGAATGAGAGAAAGCACATGAGAGGGGGGAGGGTCAGAGGGAGAAGCAGACTCCCCGCTGAGCAGGGAGCCTGATGCGGGACTCGATCCCGGGACTCCAGGATCATGACCTGAGCTGAAGGCAGTCGCTTAACCAACTGAGCCACCCAGGCGCCCTGATATGAGCCTATTTGATGACAAAACCTGACCTGCATTTATGTTGGGGTCATGTCAGACCTTTATTATTTTCACAAAAGTGAATCTTCATCTTACTGCAGAAATACCAGTGTGGTTGATTACTGGGTCCTGTCCCAGATCCTATTAGTGGTATAATAATAGTATATGGACCCTTTTTGAAATCAGGAAAAATCAGTTTCAAAACATATGTAGTATTGGAGTTTTTGAATAGGGGATTTTTAACTGTACCTATGTACATTTTCACATGTGTGAATATGAAAATATTTTCTTTACCATAAAATTTATGAGTGTTAATGTCCAAGAAGTGGATTAACCACTTTATTTGAATATTCAATTTACCTGAATAGAAATGTATATTGGGGACTCAGACAAAAATCTCAAAATAGTCTAGATTTTGCTTAAAATCCCTTAGGAACATTGTTACTTTGTGGTCTGACCCAAACTCCTCTAACAGCTAGGTTTTCTGCTGTCTGTGGGAAATACCACCATTTTTTTAGTTCATGGACTTGTGTTTAGGAGAGGCATGATACAGGAAACAACAGAGTATCTTGAAATTCAAGTATTACACTTGACGTAGGAAGGTACTTATAAGAGCAACAGAAAATGAGACTTAATGGGAGCGCATCAGTATTATATAGTCTTCACTACTGAAATAATTTTTTTTTTTAAGATTTTATTTATTTGACAGAGAGAGTGAGAGCAGGAACACAAGCAGGGGGAGTGGGAGAGGGAGAAGCAGGCTTCCCGCAGAGCAGGGAGCCCGATGCGGGGCTCGATCCCAGGACCCTGGGACCGTGACCCGATCTGTAGGCAGACACTTCACGACTGAGCCACCCAAGCACCCCTGAAGTAATGTTTTTTGTTTTTGAGTAGAGGGCATATATACTTGAATATGCATTGACATACATGCCAATATAATGTGAGTGTATTCAATAATATTTTGTAGGGTTTTTTTCTCTTAATCATAAGTAATTACTGACTTCTTTGTAATTCTGAACACATACATAGTTCAATATTTTTTCCTCCCACATACCTCTAGGGCTGAGGTTGGCATACTTTTTCTGGGAAAGAGCTAAATAGTAAACATTTTAGGATTTGCAGGTCATATGGTCTTTGTCTCAACTACTCAGCACTGCTCTGGCCCAAGGTAGCTATAGACATTAAATAGATGATTGTCTTATAAAACTTAATTTACAGAAACAGATGGTAGGCTGACACCTGTTCCAGAGGTTTTCCTCAGTGGGTTGATAAAATGGGGGAGAGAGGGTTTGTTAAGGGTTCCTTTGACACTGTATAGATTTTTCTTGACTGGGCAGTGTTGTTCTTTGTAGTGGCTTATATCAGGATTGGTTCTTAGTGCCTTTAAGAACTCTATTATGCCAGTGATAGATCCCAGGCTTTTCTCTTTATATAGTAATTTAATACATGTTTGAGCTTTTACACTCTTGATTTTTTGACTGTAAGCATATTAACTCTTAGTTACATGTTATTACTCTATTTTTTAATTTATCCTAGTTACTTTATTTCTTTGGGTTATTTGATTTATTAAAGGCTTAGAGCAAACTAGAAGAAGGAAAGTAAATCTAGTCAGTCAGTCATCATTAGCAGATTTTGTATAAAGTAACTTGTGTAAATGATTTTGTTTTACCTGGAATAAAATACCTGATCATGGCTTACATGTCAACCAGGCTGAAATTTTTATTTAAAAATCTTTCAGACATGAGGAAGAGCATCGACGCCGTGAGGAAGAAATGATCCGACACAGAGAACAGGAGGAACTGAGGCGACAACAAGAGGGCTTTAAGCCAAACTATATGGAAAATGTAAGTAAAATACTAGTTAACTAAAATTATTTTATATTGTCAGGTGGACAATGCATATTTAGAATTCTTTGGATATTGGTTTATATAATATATTTTTTAATCTTTCTGAATTTGTCGTGTTTATGTTAAACTAATGATTTTCTTAACTTCTTACAGGTAATAACTTAAAAGTAGTTTCTGAAGATACTATTAATGTTTTATGAAAAGGATGTTAAAATTTTCTCCATTTTTATCTTTTTTTAAATATATGGTTCTAAATTAGAACTCTTGATAAATCTGTCATCTCTACTTGATTGATTTTCAACATTTATTGATATTAAAAATTCTTTAGGGTCATTTGGCTGGCTCAGTTAGAAGAGCATGCAGCTCTTGATCTTGGGGTCGGGAGTTCAAGCCCCACGTTGGGTGTGGAGATGATTTAAATAAACAAACTTAAAAAAAAATGAAATAAAATAAATAAAAATTCTTTATATTGGAAGATTTTAGATATATACAAATGTAGACCAGTATGTGCTCATTACCCAGTCATGACCGTTATCAACACACAGCTGATCTTTTTGTCTTTAAGTATAGCCACTTTCCCGAATTATTTTTATTAAATCCCTGGCTTTATATGATTTCATTAATAAGTATTTCAGTATGTATCCCTAGAAGATAAGGACTCTTTTTAAAACTATCTTTGTCATATCTTAAAAATTGTCACTTCTTTAGTATTAACTAGTAAAAGCCCACATTTGCTCAGGTTTTATAAAGCTTTTTATTTTCTTTACAATTGGTTCAAATTGGCTGATAAATCCAGTGTTTTTAGTCTGTAGGTTTTCTCTTCACCTTTTAAATTTTTTCCTTAATTTTTTAAGAAAACAGACCCTTGTTTCTCACATCCTGGATCTTGTTGAATTTATCCATGCAGTGATGCTTAGCAAGTTTCTCTATCCCTGAATTTCTCATAAACTGGAGTTAGTTCTAAAGATTTGGTCTGACTCAGGTTTTTGATTTGGGCAGGCAGAATGGTAGGGCAAACAAGGATACTTCAAATATGTTAAAATCCCCAAGTTCTTAATGTGAACTAACAAAGAGTCTTATTATTCACCTTAGATGAATGCTATTTTAATAGTCATTATTCTGAAAAATATTTAGTGGTGTTTTTTTCCCTAGCTATTCAAAAGCCATGATTCTTTAATAAGTTTCTGAGGCTAACAGTATTAATTCAAGTCAGTGACTCTTTTGCTGACCTTCTCTGTCCCATTCTTCTGTCCCAAGAAAAATTTTAAATTTTCTTTCTAAAAAAGAATACACACAATAAAATACATCCTAACTTGTGTAATAACAACAAGAAATTTTTATCTTAGCCTGCATCAAGTAAATATCCTTTGACTAAAAATTATGTGGCATTTAAATTCAATTAGAGAAGTTTCTTACTTTTATAAGTTATACTAAAGGTTTAATTTGATTTTTAAATTCCATTACCACATGAGTTTTCAAGCATTGCAAATTTTCTTCTAATTTCTAGCATTTTTAGTATCATTTTGCAATTCTCTTTTTCCTCCTTGGATACATAGTGTTTGCTTATGACATGTTTTCAATGTGGTCTTAGGGCTTTTGGTTGTTATATGTGAACATAAATCTGTTGGATTTAACAATGTGAGGATGTTTTATGATGTTATGAAAGTATGTGTAATTAAAATTTTTTTGGCCCATATTTTGGAAACTAGTGACTAAGTTTTTAATTTTAAATATAATCAAGATGTAAACCACATATGATACATTTTCTTAGGGAAACTTTATTTCATTCCATTGAGGATTAGGAAATTCTTCCTTGTTCTTATATGTACCTGAACATTTCTTTTCCTAAAGTGCTTGCTTATAGTCAAAGTTGGTGGAATTAGCTTTCTTAATATTTTTTTGGCACAAACTTCACATTCTTGGGGCACATGTGTAGCTATTTGTAATGTCATGCATAAATCATTTAGGGGACTAGAAGGAAATGATTAAGTAAAATGTATTCTGCTGTTACATTTAAGTGGCTGTATCATAAGTTTGTCTGCGGACTCTATTCTTTGAAATTATTTCACAATTTTTTAAAACTCATACCAGTGTTTTTTACATTTGTTCAGTGGCATTTAATATAATTAATGAAGGACAGATTTTAATTTTACTTTTCTTTTCAAAAATTATTTGGAAATGTTGCTACAATTTAAAATTGAAATACTGCAAATTCTTATTTTAACATTTGTATGTTTAAAATTAATTTCATGGTGTCTAAAATTTTATAAATTACCGATGAACTTTGAGAATAAATGAATTACATATTTAAAATATTCATGGTGGGTTTATTGAAGCATTTCAAAAATAGATCATTTATTGTTTCACCGGATTATACTCTTAGAAAATGTAGATGGTATATTTTAATATTAAGATATCTTTTTTTTTCAAGTAAAGTATATGTTGCATATTTGAAGCATCATAAGATTAATTTCACTAGAGCAGAAGTCAGCAAACTAGCCTGGGACCAGTTCGCAGTTTCATACCACTCTACCACAGAGCTAAGAATGGTGTTTACATTTTAGAGAATTAATGGATAAGGAAAATAAAAGAATATTAGAGTATCTGTGACTTACAAAATCTAAGCTACTTACTCTTTGACCCTGTACAGAAAAAGTTTGCTGAACCCTAGGCTGGAGAGTTGGTGCTGGGTTTTTTTGTTTGTTTTTTGTTTTTGTTTCTTGTTAGGCCACAAAGTTACTATAGTCTTAATTTTCTGAAGAGGAACCATATGTAAAATAGTATGTAACAATGCAGTTAAATATTTAGGGGAAATATAGTCTTTGCCAGATTTTTAGATTTTTTGGTATTAGAAATTACGGATGGACAAAAGTTTTTCATCATTTTGGTATCAATTTTATTTGGTTCCTAGCTTCATAATGCTTGTTAATACAAGCTAATCAAGTACTAAAGAAATATTAAAAGCTCTTTATAGGTCTTGATTATTTTGTGTTAATAGAAGAAACATTGAGGTAATTGTTGTATTAGTTATTCTTCATTTATTTTGAAAACTGTCTTTGGAAAAAATTGTTAAATTTAATGTTTGTTTTTGTTTTTAAAAGCTTTGAAATTAGGCCCTCTTATGTGCTTTCTCTTTTTTCACTGTTCAGTTTAAAGGGAGGAATCAAATGGTAAGTGTTCAGCTTGCCCAAGTAGTAAGAGTAATTAGTATAAAGCAGTTTACTTGGTTTAAGATGCTACCTCTCATTTCTTTCTAATATTCCTATTAGAAATATTCCAACACAAGTAATAGTATGGACTTTGAAGTATAAAGTAAAAATTGATTTCCATACTTTGTGTCTTGAAAAATAATTTTTTTAAATGTAATAAAATATGAGGGAAAACACATCATGTCTGGTCATGTTTTTCTTTGTTAGCCTTCAACTTTATCATAATTTTATGACATGAACATATTTTTAAGGGTTTCAAGGATATGTCAGCACTTCAACTAGAAGTTGTCATTTTTATTTCATACCTTATTTCTTCTTAGAAGTCAGGTTCTTTGATAATAGCTCTGGTAATTATAAATTAAACATGTTAATTTTCAGTCCTATAGCATAAGGTATTTTTGACAACCATAACAATATATATATTTTTATGCTGTGTCTTAAATACATTTAGGTTTATCTTTACCTTTATCGTAGTATAGAGTGTAATATTGAACCATTTTCATGATAGTACTTACTAGGTTGAAGTTTTCTACTTACCACAGTTTTATAGCTTTTGGACACATCACAATAAGTTACAGTGTTAGTGTAAAAATTTATGAGATTGTCTCTTATGATTGTCTTGTGATTGTTTTTATATTAGATTGCTCCACTTAACTATATTAAACATTTTAGTACTGCAGTATACCAGTCTTTATCTGTGGATTCAGTTTGCATTGGCGTAAAGTGGAGATTTTAATTAGAATATTTCTTTAATGCAGTTTCTTAGAGTAAATTTTGCTTTCTTGGGAAACATGATAAGATTATAAAAACATCTTAAATGTCATTCTAGCTTTAGTAATTATAAAATACTTGTTTAGGTAAATTGGGGCAATGTTTATATGGGATGCTATTTTGTTTTAAAACTTCAAGAGTTTCTTTTGTTTTTTTAGAAGTTTGTTTCTGTTGTAAATATTAATATTTGTGGTTTTTTAGTGAATAAAAGAATAGCCCTTTAGATCTGTTTCGAAATATGTACTTGAATTGATACTGAAGAATTTTTATTTTTGTTTGAGTAGGTGGGAATAGCCCTGGATATTTAAATACATGTGTATAATAAACCTGAAAATAAATGTATGTTGTATGCTAAGGCAATAATTTGATTGAGTTATGTTTCTTTGTCAGAGTAGTTCCATTGTGGCTACCCAGTATATTAATATAGTGAGGCCAAGAGCATTAAGGAGATGTAGCCAGAGGCTAAGGGTGTAATGCCTCTTCCATGGTAGTGTTTTTCAAATAGTGCATAATAAACACTCAGGGAGCTTTTTAAAAATGTGGGTTTTTCCCTTAGGTCTCCAACCTACAAATTGATTTGTTTCACGACTATAGTAGAATCTGATGCATTCTCCATTGATCACATTTTTGGCTAAATTTAGTAGTTTTCAACCTTTGCAGCACATCTTTGCAACTTAAAAAAGAAAAATGTCTGAGTTGGAGCCATGGGATCTGCATTTTAAGAAGCTCTTCAGTCTGCTTATTTTAATTAGCAAAAATAGAAGACCATTGGCCATATGTTGAAATGAGACATAGTTGAAATATTGAAATAAGGATAGTAGTAAGTAGTTGAATTTTTTATGGAACCTGGGAGTTTGAAGGGAGGGCTCAAAGTCAGTCAACATGGAGGATAGGATTCATACGCTTAACAATGGAAGTAGCACAACATTCTATTCAGTGCTCTGGAATTTTGGTGTGACAACTTTTAGTTGAGCTTTCAGCCTATATGTGGAGGAGGTATTGTCTCAAATGATGGAT